AAAGAAGCACTTGGGAAGAAAGACGAAGAAGTTGAATAATTGAAAGCTGAAAATGCCGCAACGAATGAGAGTCTTGAAGTAATGAAGAATTTCATGAGGATAAATTTCCCGAATTTTTTGCTATGATGTTTTTGGCGGTTTTAGTTTTTTTGTTAATTTACTTTTTATTATGTTTAATATTTTTATATTAGATTTTTAATTAAAATTATTTTATTTTATAAATTATTCCGAATTTAAATAATTAATATTTTAAATAAATAAATAATATTATTTTTTCTTTTAAACAAAAATCAAAATCCGTAGGAATGTGGTGGGAAATAAACCTCTCAAATTGGTGGAAAAAAATTTCGTTGGAAATCTGTAGCAAATATTTCCCACCAAATTACGACTGTAAATTCGTCGAAATTTCTAGACGGAAAATTGCCATTAGAAATCCGTCGAAATTATAAGCGGTTGGAAATTCGTTGGAACCCTATTACGACGAATTTCCAATGGATTCATTCCAACGAAATTACGCAGTTGGAAATCCGTCGAAAATATCTAACGATTTCCGACCGATTTGTGATTTACGAACACCTGAACCTGAAGGCCGATATGGTTGGAAATTCGTCAGACGGATTTACAACCATATTGTCCATCCGAAAATGACATGTTTTTTTTTAGTGTGTGGACAAAAAAAAATCCAATTGTCAAAAACGATTGAACTAAACTTGATTTTAACCAAACCTTACAAAACCAATGGTAACATAATCATACAATTTAAACTTTAAAGTGATTTTCCGAATGGTACTATATTTCGGGGTGACCGCCATTTTAAATTAAAATTTATATTGGTCAAACCAAGCAATAACCGATATGTTCTCAATTTCTAATTGGTTATCGACTTCAAACCAAGGAAAATATATAATACCACCGAACTACAATAATTTTGTGCTATTTTTTCCATCTTAAGTTTTAGATAAATAAAAAAGAAAAGAAAATAGGCATTAAGTGTTGGAAACTCTAGTTGTAGCAAAAGACATGTGATTTTGGAAGTACGTACTTTGGTCTACTTCGTCCGTAATCCCTTTGCAACGGAATCAATTAATGACAAAACGGGTATATAAATATATTAACGGCCA